CATGGGGCCATCTGGCACCCCCTTGGCTTTCAGCTGCAGTGCCTGGTAGAAGGTGCAGACTGGCACACAGGGGGCACAGGGCTCCAGGCAAATCCAGGCATACAGCATCCCTGCAGCCAGCATGGCCAGGCACATGGCTTTGCTGCCTCCAGTGCCCATCCTGCTCGGGCAGCACATGCAAGCACTGGCATGACAGTAGCTGCAGCTGGACAGCCTTTTGGGCTAAGTATAGACATTCAAAAAGCTCAAGCCTGAATTCATTCAATCTTTGCAGGCTAGTCTAACCTGCAGAGATTGAACCGATCTGCAAGTGAATAGACATTCCCTTTTGATTCTGGAAATGCAGGCACATGCCTGCAGTGGCTCAGGCTAGAAGCCGGGGGGCGCTAGAGTGAGCTCTCCTTTTCCTGGCCCTGGCAGGCCTGAGTATTATTTAGGAGGGGTTTAAACCCATACTCTGGCTTGCAGGGAACCTAACCTGTGTGTGCCTGGAGGGGGAGGAGAGAAGCAGCCCTTGCTAGGCTTTTTGGGGGTGAGGGGGAAGGAGTGTGGCCAGACCCTGGCCTTAGACCAGACTGACCAGCATGGCCCCCTGAGGCGAAGGGAGCAAGGAGGGGGCTTATTCCCCTCTCCCTCTCCTCAGCCCCAGGGACTGCAGCCAGGATCTGCCTGGCTGGGGCACAGCAGCCCCTGTCAGGCATTCCCCCCACCCTTGCCCTTGGAGTGGTGGGGGATGCATGGCCTGAAGCAAATGTGGGGAGGAAGCGGGATTTAATTCTCCATCTTCCCTGCCTCCTCCCAGTCCCACTGGCATGAACCCCAACTGGGGTATACTTGGTCAGGGTGCAGCAGCCCCTGTCAGATCCCCCATGCCCCTCTACTGCTGCTCCAGAGGTAGGAGCGGGGCTGTGGCCAGATGCTGGCCGTCATGGCAAAGAGGGCAGGGAGGGGGTTTATTCCTTCCTCTCTCCCCACAGGACCTCAGCTGGGGTCTGCCTGACCGGGGGCAAGTGGCAGAGGTGGTGGCCAGGGCTGGCAGGGGGAACTTCATAATGTAGACTTCTTCTTAAGAAGGGTCCTATCTTGTCCCATTTTCCCAGTAAGTCTCTGGGTAGGAAAACACATTCTGCTAGGTAGGTGCATCAATAATAGAGAAATAATCAAAGTTATTACTCCCATAATGCAGTCTTGGTAGCTCTTGGATTAACATATTAACAAGGTGTTAGTTACCTTTGCAGTGCAGGCAGTGGTTTGACATGCAGTTGTTAAAGAACCAGGCTGGCAGGGGGAATAAATGCCCTCCCTGCCCTCTTTGTCATGCTGGCTGGAGTCTGGCCATGCCCCCACCCTGGCTGCTGGAGCAGCTGGGGGCAGAGGGTGCCCTGACGGGCTGCTGGAACCCAGCCAGGC